CCCAAGGCTCACCATTCCTTCCTTGTCCACCACCCACGCTCCGCCGGGATCCGGTCCATGAAGTCCAGCTTCTTTCACCTCTTTACCTGTTTGCCCAATCTCGCTGTTCTCTAGCCCTTTCTGTCTACCCGCAGGTCCTAGGAGCTTCTGATTTCCCTCAGAGAGGGGGAAATAAACCCCTTGGTCCCCCAAGCTTCTGATCCAGTTTGCTGATTCCATCTACCACCCATTTTTTCAAAATTACAGCAGACACCTGCTGCCTCCACTTCGCCACCTTCCATTTGCTTCTCTCCCTTTGATGTGGCTCTGCCCTTGCTCTGCCACCGCCCCACGCTCTCCAGGATCACCAGTGCTCTTGCCACCATGTGCAAAGGCCCCTTCACATCCCCACCTATTTCCTGCAGCATCAGACACCGTTGGCAACCTCCTCCTCCTCCATTAAAGTCTCTCCTCACTTGGCTTCCATGACAACCCTCTCTCCTCACCCCCTCCTCCCTCACTGACCAACCCTCATCTGTCCATCCTCCCTATGTTAGTGCCAGATTCATCTCCTGGAAACATAGCTCCAACAGCTTCCAATAAGTACTTCTCTGTTCGGAAACTTTCAATGGCTCACCACTGCCTTTAGGGAAAAAATTATGGCGTTATCAAATCATACAACTATTTGCAATACATAATATGTAATGCAATAATATGTCAGGGGGTACACGTCTCCTTTAACAACAGAGTCCATTAAGAAGGATGCTTCTCAGAAACCAAGTGCTGAGGAGTGGAAACAACAGCTCCTATTGAAGTGGGGAGCAGGGAACCCTGGAAATTCTAGAGCTTTCAAAGAACAACTGGAAACCACTGAACAAATTCAATTCCTCAATCTGCAGATGAGAAAAAGGAGGCCCAGAGAGAAGAAATGATTGGTAGAAGGTGGCACAGCATGGGAGTGAGACCATCAACACATTTCCGTTAAGTGTCTGCCGAGGACCAGGTACATGGTAGGTGCTAGAGAGGAAGGAGAGAAGAAGGGTGACATGGCCCCCCTGGAGGGGCTGACAGCCCAGTGGAGAAAGAATCCACTACTGTCAGCAAATACTGAAGTTATAATATGCAAAGAGACTTTACTAGCAGATAGCAGCACACCTGCCTGGTCTGAGGGCAGAGGGACTCACATGTCTGAGCCCTACAGGAAAAGAAAGGGAGCAGGAGAAGGAGCAGCTTAGGGGAGTCTGAGGAAGTGAGGGTGGCTGGAGTCTCAGGAAAGATCAGACGCTCCTCCTCAAAGCCCGAGAGCCAGGTGAGACAGAACGTCACCCCATAGGCTTTGCTGAGGCCTTGACACTGACCTCAGAGTCTGGCTGACCAGGGGCGGAGTCTCCAGTGTTCTAGAGGACAATCCACTGCTAAATGCAACGTGCAATCGGGAATGGGATCCTGGAACATAAGACAGACATTTATGGAGAAATCTGGACAAATTTTGCCGTTTAGTTAATAGTTTACACCAATGCTAATTTTGTAGTTTCAACACATGTAATATGGTTCTGTAAGGCATTCGCATTAAAGGAAGCTGAATGACACCGTGCCATCTCTTCTGTAAGTCCAAACCTGTTTTAAAACTATAGATTATCCCTCTGGCACCATCGCAGAGAGAAGCAAAACCAGGCATGGGAAGAGAGTACAGTAATAATGACTAACACTTAAACAGTTCTTTCTATACACCAGGCTCCAAGTTCTCACTCTGGGTGCCATTATTTCCTGTCACTTTACAAATGAAGACTCTGAGCACAGAAAAATGAAGTCACTTGCCCAAGGACAGGTACTACTGAATAGAAGAGTTGGGGGGAAGGAAGAACCAAGAATGGCTCTGAGTCGACCAGCTCAAGAGTAGGGCCCAGACCTAGTTTCTTAGGCTGGGCTTTGTGCTGTTTTCCATCACTGAAACAAACATCCAGACCTTTCACATATGTTGCAACTGCCTGCCCCTTTCTCTTATATAGCCTCCATGTGCCAGTCAAACTGGGGCCCCTGCTGCTCCCAGCAGGCCCCCACCTCTCAGAAATTTCTCTCCTTCATCTCCCTTGGTCCATATCTGATCTGTCCTCCCAGACTTCAGTTAAATGTCACCTCTCCCAGAAATCTTCCCTACTCTCCACAATGAGAAGCACTTCTCTCCTCTAGACACCAGTATTTGGGGAGCATCCTTGGCCAGTGAACAATTTCCTTCCTATGATATAATAACTTGAGTGGGTTTGTGGCTGCTGTTCACATTTGTATCCTTGATATCTAGCACAGTAGGTATTTCAGGATAATTTGTTGAGTGAGTCATCTCCTAAGTAAATAAGCTCTTTTATTTTCCTTTGCCCCTCCTCTGGCTCCATATTCTACCCCCTGCAACCTGTACACATACGCACGCACACACACACACACACACACACACACCTGCCTCCTGTGTTTTGCATGTTCTAGGGGCTTGTTTAAAGATGATGGGTATATGGTCATACCATCTCATTTACCTACACCAGTTTCTCCACCTAAGCCATCCCCAAATAGCCACGCCAACCCCAGACAGCCTCAATGGGTGCCCATTTTAAAAGCAGAAAACCAAAGAAACATTCCCCCAAAATGGAGCAGGTGGGCAAACATAAGCAGGAAACTAATAGGCATCTGCAACTGGCCAGCCAAGCCCACTCATTCAGCTCCTACAAAGTGCCGCACAGAGCCTGAAGCCTCGGCAATGAACCTACTCAGTCAGCCCTGGTCCTTAAAGTAATGAAGGGCCAGAGCAGAGGTGCCCAGGGCCAGACTGGCTACCACAAATCAAATTCAGTAAGGCATCCCCCAGCATAAAACCCTTTTAGTGACAATCTGGCTTTCAGGGAAATGTGGGCCTGTCCCTTTCCCAATCTTAGGCCCAGGACCTAACCAACGCTGTGGGTCCCACTCACCCTTAAGTTGCTGGGCTGTCTTGTACAACTGGACCCCTCCCCCCACCTGAAATCTTGCCTTCTCGGTGGCCTTTGTCTGATCCATAACCCTTCCTCCTAGAAGCCTTTGTTTGATCCAGTTTGATCCACAACCCTTCCCCAGGCTGAAACAAACTGGGCGCATCCTCCAAGACACACCGGGCTGTGTGCACATCCCTGGGACACACTATAGAATAACTGCCTGTTAGTGTCCTCCTTTCTGTTTGTCTTCTCCCCTGCGCTCTCCCCCACCAGACTGACCACCTTTACTGACCATGCTTCTGGAGTTCCAAGCCTGGCACATAGTGTTTGGTACAAAGAAAGCCTGGTTACAGGTGTTAAATGCAAAAGAAGTAACAGTGCGTGAGTGTGAGTGTGTGCTGAATTAGACTACTTCTGCAGGAAACAGACACCAGGGGCCAGATCCCAGGTAGTGGGAAAGGGGAGCCCTCCTAACCCATTGAGTCTCTGGGCTCCTCCTAATCCCAGGAACTAGAATTTACATGTTATCAGGAACCAGCCACTTCCTCTTGTTCCTGTCCGGCTGGGCAAAGGGCAGCAGTGGGCAAACGTAGTGTTGTCTGGTCAGGCCTCTGGAGAGAACTCGGTTCTCCTTGTGGGAAACTCTATCTGAAAATAGGAAGTCCAGAGGGAGGGAAGCAGGAGAGCCCAAGCTTTGGGCTGCCAAGGGCTCCTGAGGGCCCAGCCCTCTTGGCACGCAGCCCACGGCACCCATAAGGTGGTGGTGGACATGAATGCGGTGGGGATGTCTCTGCCCTGCCTTGGACATGGACTAGGTCACTTTCTCGGGAATTCTGCAAGTCGTTCAAAAGGGGGGGGAAAAACCCACAAAGGTGTGGAGACCAGAGCCTTGAGGGCAGAGGGAGAGGGGTTCAGTTGCACACTGCTTGGGCAGAGGGCTTCTGGCTTTTTTTTTTTTTAAGGAACCCCTGAAGGCCCAGGAAACCCCCACTCCCGGCTCACTCACTGAAGCCCTCCACCTGCTTCTCGGGCAACTTCCGGTGGGTCCTCGCTGTTCTGTGGGCCTCACCTTTTAGCGTCCAGGTGATGCAGAGGCTAGAGCTCCTGTTCTAGTCGGAACCCTACCACTTTCTGTCCTTGTGCCCTAGGCGAGTCGCCAACGCCTCCTTTGGGCCTTTGTTTCCTCTTCTGCAAAATGGGGCCAGGGCCGGAGTAGAGGGCGCGGAGAGGCCCCTTGGGCTGGGACACTGCTAGATCCGGTCTCCTCCATTCTGCACGCCCGCTCCTCCAGAGCCACCCCCCAAACTCCACCCCCACCGAGCAGCTTCTCCCCCGATGCCGGCCGCTAGGGGTCACTGCCTCCCTTGGTCAGGCCGCTGAGGGCGGCTAGCCCTCGGGCCCACTCCGGGGCTGAAAGACTAGCGAGGGGGCATCTCCCGAGCCCGCGGGCCTGGGCGGGACCCCCGCCCTCGCTGGGGACCCGCCTCTGCCTTGGGCGGGAAGGTGTGCGCGGCGGGGCGGAGGCCGGCGGGCGCCGGCTGCGAGTCGGGAACCAAGAGGGGGTTAACGCTAACCCCTCCCCTTCGGTCTGACATCACGGCGAGAGCGGGTGAGAGGCTGGAGCTCGGCGAGTGAGAGAAAGAGAGGGAGAGGAGCGAGCGCGGCTCGCCTCGGCGCCCAGGCAGCTCCACATTGTTGCGGATCGCCGGGACCCGGCAGAG